TTTACAATTAATACAAACACACAGTTCTGAAAATACACTAATACGCCTCACCCATATTCCAACTGCGACGTTCAATAAAAAATATGCTCCAATTACAATGATATCAGATACGCTGAAAGACTGGGAAAGGGCAAAAAATTTAGTGGTAGAGTTAGACGCCATGTCCTGCCTTCACACACACTACACACAGACTAAAACAACGAGACAAGGAGGACAGAAAGACACAAGGCGTTCCGGTCAGTCAGCCCTGTGTGTGAATTGATCATTAAACACATCAGTTTAATGAAGCAAACTTGCACCTACATGAAAACAACAAGGCAGATGAAACACATCCCTGAAGACACACAAACCCTGCTGCTAACAGTGGGTTCAGAGACGTACACATGCACCTGCACACAGACACAAACACCCATGACTACACACACGCATACATACATGCTTAATTGTATAATCAGAGCATTTAGACGTGTGATCTATCTAACCTAATGTGACTGACAGAGTCTAAAAAACATCCCTAGACACACTTAACAAAGTTAATCATTTACTTAAACACCCACTGGTGCTACCCATTAACACACGCACATGCACTAACCATTAGCATCAATCTTACACATGGACATAAGTATACTCACTAGCGATGCCTTTAGTATTAACTGCGGTCACTGTTCACATCGGCTGCATTTTATTTTACAGTGTGGCACGAGTGTTTGCAGCCTAATTTCTTTGTAAATATAACTCTATTCACCCAAGATGAAGTTGATTAAGCTTTCAAGTAATGCCATTCGAATTCATATTGGTATGTGCTGCTGCTTATTCAGTAAGCTCTTTAGTTCATATTGAGATGAAGAAATAATGTCTTTGGCTGAATCCAGAGTAGCTCTTTCAAGTATATTGTGCTATTTGGACCTTGGTGGTCTTAAATTATGATGGCGTACATGGTTTGACTGACTTTTTGTCTCTAATTGCAAGTTATTTATTAGTTTAATACTAATTTCTTTTATACACTAGCGGTTAAAAGTTTAGGGCTGGTAAGATTTTTTGATGTGTTTGTAAGATGGCTGTCCGTGTCTGAGGGGAGACTTAAAGGAACAGCTCACATATTTCCCAAAAACAAAAATACAATTATGTGGAAAACACAACAGAATTTGTTTTTAGCTCTTTTCCTTAAAATGGAGGTATATAGTGACCAGGGTTTGTTGTGCTCCAAAAAAGATGACTTGTGTGCTGTACTCATCTTTAGAACCCATATAATAGGTTTTTGGATCATGTGGTGGACAGTACAGAAAAGAGCTTCATGAACATGATGCAGAATGTTCAATTTAAGAAAGAAGGTCAGATATTCATATAACGGTGTGTTTCCCCCCTCTCTCTTTAGAGGACCATGTGCCTTTGGCTTAGTGTACACGGTCAGTATATCTACCCTGCTAAAATCTGTCCTGTGACCTTTCTCCTCAAAAACATGCTTTCTCTCTCTCACACACACAAACACTGCTTTCCTCCTTTTTAATCTGTCAGGCTCATGGGAAAGGGTCTATTTAGTCACACCCCTGATTGATGCAGCACCATCAATTTAACCAAGCAATCTCGCTCACACACTCGCTATGGCAAGCTGCTGTAACATTTATTTCATTTAATGTCTATTTATGTTACTAGTGTCTCTTTATGTTACTAGTTACTTTTTAATTATTAGTAAGTCATTCAGTAGTGACTATAAAAAGAACTTCAAGGGATTTTTTCACAACATAAATGCAAGGTTGCAAGTTAAAAATTCTAATGTACTGATTTAATTAAACATTTGTGTTGAAGTGTAGTGCTCGTAGTTAAGTTGTGGGTGTATAATAAAGGTATACACTAAATTGACTCTATAACCAATGATGCACTAATGCCAGTGACAAGTAGTGTCTTACTTTTTCATTAACTTTGTATGTTAAATAAATTAGCATCTACTATGCTAGCTCTTGATTTTAATTGACATAGATAAGATTAATTGGTTCCAGGTCCACAGCTCAATTAGTTGCATAACAACTTAATTTAATCAACTTAAAAATTTGTGTTTATACTACAAATTATTAAACTCATATAACTTGTGTACTGACATTGCAATTGTTTCCCATTGAATGCCATTGAGTTACAATGTAAAAAACTAGATTTTTTCAAACTTCAAACTAAATAAAACAAAGATGATTGGAGTAAGTTTTACAAGAAAATACAGCTAGAGCCTTTCTACTTCAAAATTGCATGGTTTAATTAAATGTGTTACTCGCCATTTCTTTGTACTTAACTGTGAAATTGTTGAAAATAGTTTCTACAGCAATTTTTTCACCAGTGTAACCGCATTTAATTAAATTGGTTACTCGCCATTTGTTTGTGATTACGAAATGAAATGTGTTCCTATGGATTTTTTTTCCCCCCAGTGTGTTCAATTCCATTTTTTTGTTTGGTACCAAGATCAAATTTTACTAGTAACTATTCTACTAATTAAATGGAGGCTAGAAAATAGTGTGGATTCAGGTAAAACCGAAAAAGATTATAGACACTATTGTGTTCTTTGCTAGTATTAAAAATACAGGTAACATAAAACTGATACTAGTTCATTTTAAAGACTTAATGTTAATACGGTTTGCCATAGCCTTCACAGATACACAGACACACACACATACATGCGCACTTGAGAAAGCGACAGCGGATTACAACCTCCAGCGGCCGCGCGCACATCTGCCTAGATGTTTACGTAATATATACGGTCTCTCTGTGAGCTTCGGGTCAAAGAGACGCCTTCCGTTTTGATTTACGGAGCATCTGCTTTTTTGTAGCAATACAGCTATGTAAATAAGCGCAAGGTTTCCGCGCCGTCCCTTTAACCTGAAAACGATCGGACTCTGTCACCTCAGTGCGCAGTAAGATCGTTTTTCATCGCTAGCGACTGCGTGGACGCCACTGGTCACTCCACTTGGCATGTAAACGCGTCTTGCGCGTATAGCGCGTCTCTGCGCACTCGGCCTTTTTACGATGTACAAGCAATCTTGATGTAGGCAAGGAAATGGAACAGTTCTGCTGTAACTTCTATGTTTTAACCTATAATGTTTTAATAGGTAACCCCGTTTGTCACATGTACATTCACAAAACTTACATTTCCACTGCATCTTCACAAGAACCTGTTGAAACAGAGCATAAGAAAACGTTTAGAAAATGTTGCAGAAAATCAGTTGCAGATATAATTCTACTGTAAAAGTTAACTTCTGCTAGCGATCTCGGGTTTTAAACTGTTTGTTACATTACTAATATATAAAGAGAGAAAGAAAATCACTCATGTGAAACATTAAACAGGATTTTTTTTTAACTATTACCTTAATAAACCAAAGAGCTATACCTTAGCGTTAGCCACAAGCACGTGCACATGCATGGACTCGTGCTGATATGAACCTGACAGAAATAAAACTTATGCCAACAGTTTAGCTACAAAACACGTTGTAGCTAAACTGTGAACATACAGAGAAACACTGGTTAGCGTTATAAACGGTGACCCGACAGAAAAAGCTAATTTATATGATACTGTTATAGCTTAACTGTGAACCGACAGGGGAAAAAATAGCGTTGACCGACACATTAACACTACGTTAAAACTTTAGAGTTCAACATCGGTCCGGATTTTTGGGTTATCACTTTTTTCTGAAATATATCAACAGATAAAAAGTTCTTTACACACTCACCATGTCACGTTTCTTTCAAAACAATCCACGGTAAGCGTGCCCCAGCAGCAGAAGACACTCATCAGGCAGCGCTCTGCTCACCTCAGGGCCCCTCCCCTCCCTTACAAAAACGTAACGCACTGAGTTGTCTCTACTTAACATGATCATTACACTCAATTTTTTCTTCTGATTAGTGCAAACAGCTCATTTTATTTAGTAATGACACCATTTTCTAAAGAACAATAAAGAATAAGTAATGACCACTTAAAATGTTTCATTAACACAAAATCCGGGTTTAGAGTGTAGTTACTTTTTAATTATTAGTAAGTCATTCAGTAGTGACTATAAAAAGAAATTCAAGGGATTTTTTCACAACATAAATGCAAGGTTGCAAGTTAAAAATTCTAATGTACTGATTTAATTAAACATTTGTGTTGAAGCGTAGTGCTCGTAGTTAAGTTGTGGGTGTATAATAAAGGTATACACTAAATTGACTCTATAACCAATGATGCGCTAATGCCAGTGACAAGTAGTGTCTTACTTTTTCATTAACTTTGTATGTTAAATAAATTAGCATGTACTATGCTAGCTCTTGATTTTAATTGACATAGATAAGATTAATTGGTTCCAGGTCCACAGCTCAATTAGTTGCATAACAACTTAATTTAATCAACTTAAAAATTAGTGTTTATACTACAAGTTATTAAGCTCATATAACTTGTGTACTGACATTGCAATTGTTTCCCATTGAATGCCATTGAGTTACAATGTAAAAAAATAGATTTTTTCAAACTTCAAACTAAATAAAACAAAGATGATTGGAGTAAGTTTTACAAGAAAATACAGCTAGAGCCTTTCTACTTCAAAATTGCATGGTTTAATTAAATGTGTTACTCGCCATTTCTTTGTACTTAACTGTGAAATTGTTGAAAATAGTTTCTACAGCAATTTTTTCACCAGTGTAACCGCATTTAATTAAATTGGTTACTCGCCATTTGTTTGTGATTACGAAATGAAATGTGTTCCTATGGATTTTTTTCCCCCCAGTGTGTTCAATTCCATTTTTTTGTTTGGTACCAAGATCAAATTTTACTAGTAACTATTCTACTAATTAAATGGAGGCTAGAAAATAGTGTAGATTCAGGTAAAACCGAAAAAGATTATAGACACTATTGTGTTATTTGCTAGTATTAAAAATACAAGTAACATAAAACTGATACTAGTTCATTTTAAAGACTTAATGTTAATACGGTTTGCCATAGCCTACACAGATACACAGACACACACACATACATGCGCACTTGAGAAAGCGACAGCGGATTACAACCTCCAGCGGCCGCGCGCACATCTGCCTAGATGTTTACGTAATATATACGGTCTCTCTGTGAGCTTCGGGTCAAAGAGACGCCTTCCGTTTTGATTTACGGAGCATCTGCTTTTTTGTAGCAATACAGCTATGTAAATAAGCGCAAGGTTTCCGCGCCGTCCCTTTAACCTGAAAACGATCGGACTCTGTCACCTCAGTGCGCAGTAAGATCGTTTTTCATCGCTAGCGACTGCGTGGACGCCACTGGTCACTCCACTTGGCATGTAAACGCGTCTTGCGCGTATAGCGCGTCTCTGCGCACTCGACCTTTTTACGATGTATGGCGAGGATGCGCTGGCGTTAACGGCACCGTTATGGTCGCCTGGTCCCCTGAAGATGCACTGGATGTAGAAGTATAGCCATGATTGCATGTGTGAGAGAGGGTGCATGAGTGTGTGATAGAACAGAATGGGGAAAGAACAGGAACTCTTGCAGGCGGTGAAGACGGAGGATCTGATTACTGTCCAGCGGCTCCTCCAGAGACCCAAACAGGGCAAAGCGAGTGAGTATCACACCCACCGATCTTTAAATGTCCCATCACACCCATCACACACCCTCTTGCTATAGCAGAGCTTCAGTGATCACCTAAGCACACACAGCTTTTTAATTAGTGATATTATATATAGCAAAACACTTGGCTTTGGCGAAATAAATAAATGTTTCTTTAACAATTTCGTACGTTTTCCCGTCAGTGTCCTCGTAAGAGCATGTGGAAAAATGACTTTGTAGGCCTTAAGCATATTAATGTCGTTGGCTCGAGAACCGGTTCTTTTTTCAGAACAGCTTCAATTTTTAAAATGTATTGGAACTAAATAATTTTAATGACGTTCACGAACGGTCCTCGATCGTGCATTCCACCCCCCTCCCGACGATTCGGACAGAGCACCACAGAGACTCTATCAGCTCCTTTCTTTTTAGTGAATCACGGCCAGTGTCCGAATGACTCTAGAGTGAGTCGTTCTTTTTTTAGGCAATATCAACGCAGATATCTACATTCGTTGATTATAACGCGAGTGTTCCACATGTGTCGCGTCGCTCAGGGTAGACGGGTTGTCAATACTTGACGTTCAGCTGTGTGTAACGGCATGAAAATCCGCTTTGATGGCCAGATGAGCGCGCGCTCGGATATGGCAGGTGGCTGAAGATCGCCCAAGATTAAAGAGATGAAGTATTGAAGGAAACGTGCAGATGGATATTGTCATTTCACATTTACAGTCCATTAGATTCTATATCAGATTTTAAGTACCTGTTCACTATATATATATAGATTTATGCTGTTGATAGATACCATCTTCTGTTCTTTTTTTTTGTCTAAGTAGGCCACTTGTTATTCATATTAGATGTTGTGCCTATTATTTTTCCAACTAGCTGTTCTTCAAATGAGATAGATAGATATATAGATAGATAGCTATAGATAGATAGCATCTTGTTGTCCTTGTTGGGAAGCATGAGGCTCGGGGCAGGAAGAGGGATTATATTAGTGAATGGCGCCAGATGCCGGAGTGATAAAGTGTGTGAGTACATGAGAGAGAGAGAGAGAGAGAGAGAGAGAGAGAGAGAGAGAGCTCACTCTCTTTGTTGTCTGTCCATTATGACATGTAAAGGGACTAACAGTGAGATAGATATATAGATAGATAGCTATAGATAGATAGCATCTTGTTGTCCTTGTTGGGAAGCATGAGGCTCGGGGCAGGAAGAGGGATTATATTAGTGAATGGCGCCAGATGCCGGAGTGATAAAGTGTGTGAGTACATGAGAGAGAGAGAGAGAGAGAGAGAGAGAGAGAGAGAGAGAGAGGCCACTCACTTTCTTGGGTGTCTGTCCATTATGACATGTAAAGGGGCGTTCACACTAACAGTGGTTTTATCATTGCAGGTCACCAAGTCATATTACTGTTGGTTGGAATTATGAGTAAGAAATGACCAGGTGCTTTGTGGTCGGAGAGTTTAAAGAATTAAAAACTGCCCAGAAAGAACACAAGTACACATTCTGTGTAAACACTCCTTTAAAGCAATAGTTCACAAAAAAATAAAAATCGAAAATGTACTCAGGCTATCCAAGATCTAGATGAGTTTGTTTCTTCATCAGAACAGATTTGGAGGCATTTAGCATTACATTACTTGCTCACATGGATCCTCTGCAGTGAATGGGTGCCGTCAGAATAGTCCAAAGTGGTGATAAAAACATCACAATAATCCACAAGTAATCCAAATGACTCCAGTCCATCAGTTAATGTCTTGTGAAGTGAAAAGCTGTGTTTGTAAGAAACGATTAATTAATTAAGGGATAACTTCAGATTGTTGCGTCCTAAAACATGAGTCCTCTATTCACAATGCTTTCTCCAGTGAAAAAGCTGTCTTGTCTGAATCAGGGGAGAAATATGCACAGATCAAGCACTGTTTACAAGCGAAAACGTGAAACAGTTCTAAACAAGTAAGTTGGTTGATTTTGATGTGAGAGGACAAGAGGGGATGGACTTTTCACTGTAGGAAGTGTTATTATGAATTATGGACTCAGCAGAAGTGACAGTTTAAAGTTAAAACTTCTTACAGACACACAGCCTTTTACTTCACACGACGTTAGTTGATGGACTGGAGTCATGTGGATTACTTGTGGATTATTGTGATGTTTTTATCAGCTGTTTGGAATCTCATTCATGACGGCACCCATTCACAGCAGAGGATCCATTGGTGAGTAACTGATGTAACGATACATTTCTCTAAATCTGTTCTGATGATGAAACAAAATCATCTATATCTTGGTTGGCCTGATGGTCAGTCAATTTTCAGCAAATTGTCATTTTTTGGTGAACTATTCCTTTAAAGCCTGTTCACACCTAGAACTATAACAATAACTATAAAGATATATGCTTAAAAGTTATTCTAAATGTAAATGAATAGCAGAGTCCACACCACAACTATAACTATAAAGGCACATATGAACTATATAATTGGATTCAGGTGATGAACGATAAAAACATTGACAGCCAATCAGAATCCATCATGCTTAAGCTTGAGCATTTAAAGCAGCAGACAGCGAAACAGAATGTTTTTGTACATTGATGTGAACACTAATATAGTTATTGTTATAGTCGTTGTTCTTAGAATGAACAGGCTTTTAGAGTATGAGTGAATATTTTACATAGCAAGAAAAACAGGCTGTCATTGCTGTCTCAACCCAGAATCTGGATGCAGATATTATGTGATTATTTTGGTAGGTCAAAAATTATTCTCAGCTGGAATAGCTTTTCCTCTCATTTAAAAAATAAATAGTGTCCTGTACATACAGTGACTGTTGCACAAGATCAGGCACACATGTCTATAATTGAAATGCAATTACCACTTCCAATGCTGGGTAACATCCCAGGTGGTGAGAGATGCATCTCCTGCTATGATAGGAGGGCAGCCTGAAATGAAAGCAGGCCATTCAGTGTGAGTGTGTGTGAGAATAGCTATACTGAAGATGTCCTTCTTTCTCTTGTGTACCATAAGAAACCATTCTTTTTTTTTCTGGTGCAGTTTTAGGCACCATCATTTTTAGAAAAAGAGATGACTGAAATTGTTATACCTTTAATTTGACAATATTATAGAAAAGTGTTTGCCGGACACAGTGCACTGCTGAGTAAATGTTAGGCTTTTGTCGATGATATTTTAAAGGTGACATATCATGAAAATCTGACTTTTCCAGGTTTTAAGTGCTATAATCAGGTCCCCGGTGCATCTACCAACCAAGAAAACGTGAAAAAGATTAACCCAGTAACTTGTTTTGGGAAGTAGAGATGGGCGATACCACTTATTTTGTTTTCGATACGATACCGATATTTTACAAGGCAGTATCGTCGATATCGATACCGATTCGATACTTCTGCACTAAACTTTTAAATGATGAAATGTATTAAATTATTAAATTACTAAGAGTAAAATGGGTAATAATAAGCACTTAACTTTGTTTAAAATGCATTTTAAC